AAGTAACATTACCATCTGGGCGCGTGCAGATTCCAGTGCATAGGAATTATGCATTTGGCCACTCCGCGCATCCAGGTGCATCTCAACTGGCCTAGCTTTTGCTTTTGCAAACCTCGGCGGCCCGTTGTGTACCGAGTACTTTGCCATTAAAATTTAAAGTTAAAACAACAAAGAAAGCAAAAAAGCAACGGGTCTTCAGGGCTTTCAGATCAACCACTGAAGGATGCACGTGGGCACTGTGCACGCCCAGGCACATGCAGATAAATTGAGACAATGCACTTGATCGTTTTCACGTCCAGGTGCGTTCTGCCTGGCCTAGTTCTGGCCTAGTTCCTACGCTTGAGGATGCAGATCATGCACTTGACTGTCTGCACGTCCAGGTGCATTTGCAAACATGAGCAGGTCAGTCGGTCGGTCGGTCGGCCGGTACGGCATTTGTGAACACAGTTCTTTTGCCCTCATAAGAAATAACAAAACTTTTGAAAGAAAAAAAATCCAAAAAGTTGGAAATTGTGAAATGCCTTCAACAAATGAGTCATCAGCTCTTTCCGTAAATGACAACTCGGCCAAAAAAATAAAAAAATAAAAAAAATAGACCACTCGAGGACGCCAGCGTAGTTGGGAGAGCTGACTCGCAACGCGGTTGCTGTTTATGTTGGGGGAGGAAAAACCCTAAACCAGAAAAGGAAATCATGTTTGGCATACATATGAATGAATGCCAAGTTTGAGAGAGGAAAACAACTCGAAATAAGAAAAAAATATTCAAAAAAACAAAGGCGGCGTCATTCTCAGTCTTGTCTTGTCTTGTCTTGTCTAGCCTTGAGTGGCTGTGTACAAAGAAAAAGGAACTGACGAGTCAGTGTGGTGACTCATTTTGTAAGCTGAAGTTTTTTTTTTTTTTTTTTTTTTTTTTAACGGTTTTTAATACTTCTCAAGTTCTCATCCCTTTTCTCCTGCTGGGGCCAAGTCCCACTTGACCGGATTCTTCATTTCTGGCCGTTGATTTTCATGATCTACGGTCGGGAATGGAGGATCCGGGTAAGTGGGACTTGGCCCCTGTAATGTAACATCCACTTTTTTTTTTTTTTTTTTTTAACTAATGTAACATCCGCTTGTTTGCGTGGAATGGTGGTTGGATATAAATTCATTCAATGGATTATCAATTTCGATTTTTTTTTGGGGGTGACACTGGATTTTATGAGTTTGACCGGCCTGAAAATTTCCGGGAGAAGAAAAAGCGTAATTCATATAAAAAAAAAAAATCAAATAATGCACACCCTGTGAGGCTTTACTCCAATGGAGGACATGATATGCAAGGTATTAAAAAAAAAAAAAAAAAAAAAAAAACTGAAGTGACTGAACTGATCTCACAATCAATCCAGCCCCCCGCGACCTTCATACACGATGTGCACACGTAGAAGCTTCACATGAGGAGGTAGAGGAGGTAGAGGAGGTGGTTCTCCACGTGTCCGGGATGATAAGGCTGCGGATGGCTTTCTTTTCTTTCTTGAGCTTTCTAGACTCTACAGCCCGGTTCACATGTACGATGAGGATCTACAGCCCGGTTCACATGTACGATGAGGATCAACAGCCCGGTTCACTGTCGAACTGCAGGTTGGAGGAGACGAGAGCATGTACTACAAGGGTGGGGTATGTCTGAGAGTCGTCATGCAGCGCCAGTACATCGGGGTGCCAATCCGAAAACTTCGGAGGCTCGAGGAGGGCGAATGGCAAACTTGGGCATCAAAACCAATCCAATCCGAAAATTTCGCCAGCCAAAGGGGAAAAAAAAAAAAAGTGATGTGCTGGCGTCTTGGCAAAGCTTGGTGCGCAGGGGGAGGGTATGTCTGAGAGTCGTCATGCAGCGCCAGTACATCGCGGTGCCAAAAGTGAAGAAAGTGGATCAATAAAAAAGCCTAATTTGAAAGAAATATTATCATTGACTATCCATGGAAATAAAAAACAATAATCAGAATTACCTATTATATATCTCCATAAAATATTTATGGAAATTATCATAGCAAAAAAAACAGTTAGTCTTTTAATACAGAAGAAATAAAAATAAAATTATTATGGAATTTTATTTTTTGATTTCATAACAATTGTAATATGACAAGTCGAGGAGGGCGAATGGCAAACCAAACCAATCCAATCCGAAAATTTCGCCAGCCAAAGGGGAAGGGGGGGGAAAGCGATGTGCTGGCGTCTTGGCAAAGCTTGGAATCTGCCTCGTACAAAAAGAGGCTCGGATGTACTTGTGGTTTAAACTACCGCTGGCTCAGGACGTGCCTGCCGAGCTCCACCTTCCTCCCCCGAATACAACGTCCGGTCGGTATAGCTGTATTTGGGGTATCTTTCGGTCTAAGTACAGCTATAGTGACTTGTGCGTTGTATTCGGGGGGGAAGAAGGTAGTGCGGTCCGGTACCATACCAGCTTGCTGCAGTCCCACAGGGAAAGATCCACGCCTATTGGAGTTGCTATTTTGGGAAAGAGGAAGGACTCCCTGGTAATGCTGGTGGTTTCAGCTCTGAAAAATATTCCTCTTCTGGCCAAATGGGTGGTTCAAATTACCAATTTACCATCAATTTTTATTTATTTATATTATTTTCTTCCCGTCCATCAATACTTGAAGGCTCTCTCAAAAAAAAAAGAAAAAAAAAAAAAAAAAAACTTGAAGGCTCTCTAATCGTTGGGGCTGTTATTTATTTCTTATTTCAGTTATAAACTTAATATAAAGTAATATAAACTGTTATATCCAAAAAAAGGCTGCAAACGTTGTTGAGTTTAGAAAACTCAACGGTGTGACGCCATTTCGACATTAATAAATTCAAAACAAGAAATTAAAAAACTGAAAAAAACGCTAGAAACAGCTTTTCTCCTTATTTTTTATAACGTAACTCGGAGAAATGAAACATGTCTGGAACAGTCGGAGTGAAAGTCTTCGTGGAAAAGGGATACTCCCCGTGGTGAGGGGACAGGAGGTCACCATTTGTAAAATGGACAGGGACCACGTGGATGGCCAAATGCATTCATTGCCCAAAGAAGGAAACGAGCTTGATGCCAGACAGCCAAACACAGCTGTCAGAGTTCCTCCGTTTCAGGATGCAATGAGGTCTTAAACCACCAGTACTTGGGTGACGCCTTAGCGTTAACGCTACGCGATTTCCGCGGCCAGTGGGCCGTCGATAAATAGAATAGACAGCCTGCGCCGCTTCGAGATTTGGGCGGCCGGCGCGGCGCGCAGTGCCCAAGTACTGGTGGTTTAAAAAACAAGAAAAAAAAAAGGAAAGGCACTGCCGTTGAGAAATGTACCCTACCCTCGGTAGGGTAGTTTTCTCAATGGAAAATGGCTTCCCGCCCAAACCAAAAGGGCCAACGCATACTACAAAACGGATTTCACGTCAAAGAAAAATTCTACAAAATGACTAAATCTAATAGGTTATTCTCCTGTATTTTGGTACGTCCCACCATGCCACACGTGATAGAAAGCGCGGTGTTGAGAAAACTCAACGCTGTAGGTGGGGCTAGACCCCAGGACTAGTATGGTTGGAGAGATCAGGGTAATCAATGCTGGCAGGGATATGTTTTTGGGACTTAAAATGTTGTATTTATGGGAAGCTGGACCCGGGGCTGGGTCCCACTTGCACGAATTAAGAGATACTGACCGTAGATAGCAAAGATCAACGGCCGAAATCTCCTAATTTGCGCAACTGGGACCTTGCCCCTGGTTTCCGGCAGGTGATGCTCCCCACCAATAGATGGAGCGGTCATTTTCAAAAAAAAAAAAAAAAAAAAAAAAAAGTATGGTTGGAGAGACAGGCACAACTTGGTAGGCCTTTTTTTTGAGAGATCATACACTTGGTACTAGTTGGTAGGCCTTTTTTTTGGAGAGATCATACACTTGGTAGGCCTTTTTTTTTAGAGACAGGCAGTGGTAGGCCTTTTTTTCAAGAGATCATGCACTTGGTAGACCTTTTTTTTGAGAGACAGGCACAGCTTGGTACTAGTTGGTAGGCCTCTTTTTCAAGAGATCACGCACTTGGTAGGCCTTTTTTTTTAGAGATCATGCACTTAGTAGGCCTTTTTTTCAAGAGACAGGCACACCTTGGTAGTCCTTTTTTTCAGAATTTTTCAGAATTTGTAGCCTCTCGAAAAAGCGAATAATTAGATGAAGATATTCTGAGATAGGAAATTCAGAATTCCTGTTCATCGAACTAATAGCTTTTTCGAGAGGCTACAAATTTGAAATTCCACTTTCTATA